GTGTGTGTGTGTGTGTGTGTTGCAGGCCTTACCTGTGGCTCCCCTGTTTGCCAGAACCAGATCTTCATTGTCTTTCTTCTTCTTCTTCTTCACTTTCAGGCCAAACATTTTTTTGGGCTTTCTGCTCACAGGAGAGGAGACCTTTCATGTAGTCAGGACTTATTTTTACCCTTATCAGCTTTATCTTTATGTTGAAATGCAGGTCAGCTAATAAACATGAGAGCATAGACAAAGGAAAAGCCAGATACATCTTTGTGTCTGATCCCTTTTTTTAACCTTTTAACATCCAACAGGTCACTGGCAACATATAATTGTATGTTATTGTTAATTTATTGAGTAAAATAACTCAGTTTTAAGATCTGTTTTTAGCCACTGATGAGCATAGGCTTGATGTCTTTCCTGCAGCACGAGAAGCTGAAATATGTAAACTATCATTCATTTCTATTAAACTGCTCTTTGATGTGTTTGCTTAATGTGGCTTCACTGAAAAAAAAAGTCATTTAAACTCAAACTTTCAAGGCAAAAATCGTTGCCTGTTTAACTCCTTTGCATATAGTAAATATATAATCATAGAAACAGAGGTTTAACCATAGACATAGTCCAAAACTAGAATGTGAGCTTTAGCTCTCACGCCCATCTACTACGGATCAGGAGAGACATCTTCTCCATTTTCAAGAATAAGCTTCATAATTTCAAATAAGACAAATAAGCTAAACATCGCAGCAGTGACAAGTTTCCTACCTTTGTTTGGGATCCAGTGTTAGTCACAAGACCGCACTCTTCACTTTTGTCAGTTGGACACGCAAGACTGCATGTTATATGCTTTCGGTGACTCAGAGTCAGAGCTGTTGAAGCAACGCATTGAATAGCAGCCCGATTATGTGATTGGTGGTTGAAATGTTTGTTCAAAAAGTTCTGTTGTAAAACTGAGGGAGCATGTGGTTCATGCACGCACCAACCCTTCATACAGGCCACCAAGGAAAACAGGAATTATCCTGTTTTCCTTGGTGGCCTGCATGAAAGTTTAGAAGCATCCTCCTACCAATTTCTTTGGTCTAATATTTGTGTTTTTACATTAAATAGTAATGCTAGCAGATGTACCTCGTACATCGTGCTACAAGTACCTGAAGCTGTAGCAAAACTAATGCTAGTTTACTGCTAGTAAAGGTGCAGTAGTAGTATTATTGGCAGCAGTGCTAATATTTGTTTTTTCTATTTATCTGTCATTGGATGTCAAATAATCTAATCTGCTAGTCACCTGAAAATAAGTTACTGTCTCTAATTTGAGGCTAATAAATTAATACATAAGCAAAGCTGTTTATCTAGCACTGTATGTGTGTGCTTATCCTGAACCTTGTAATCATGTGACCAGGATGTATGATATTTGGAGAGTTAACAAACCCACCCATGGTAAACAGAGGAACTCACACCCTGTCAGTGCAATCATCCAGATGATGACAGATGCTCATGTCATGTTTTTACATATCAGCTGGAGCATTTCGGACTAAGCTAAATGCTAATTCAGCACATTTTATTTACATTTTGCATGTGTGCGTTTATATTGGATGCCAAAGAAATCCTTGTAGTTGTTATGTATGTTCTACACTGTGGCCTTTTATTAAATAGAACATCAGATTTTAGGGAAACAAATGTCTGCTCGTTTTAATATGATCTGTGCTTATATGTGAAAAATTTTACCCATTTAAATACACTAAATAAAAGTATGTTTTTCTATTATTACTTATAGTTAGAAAATTTCCCATTATCATTATTTTACCCATTTCATTTAAACTTATTTTGAACTACTGTAATGCATCCTATGCATTACCACAAATATCTCAAAAAGTATAATAAATATAATTACATAAGAATAAAATTAAAAAGCCTTAACACTATGGGACATAGCTAACTTGAGTATTATGTGACATATTTATATTAACAGGGACATATTAAAAATGAATTAAAAATGAAAACTCAAGATGAAGTGTTGTCTTGATGCATGCTCAATCATCCAGGAAAAGAAATCCCAAAATGTGATTCTGTTCCTCTGGACGTGGCGTTTTCACTCTTCTTCCGTCTCAGCTGACTGCAGGTTTCCAACCTTAGAAACAGTGCATTTGCATAATGACTGAAACCAGCACCACTGACAGAACAAGTGAGGTCAGTTTCTCATGAAGATGATGTCAGGGTCCTGGGTCTGAGCGACCCAGGAGCTCTGAGCAGCTATGGGCTTATGTTATATTATATGTATTGTATATGTATGTTTGGTGTTGCTGCCACTGTGTGTGTGTGTGTGTGTGTGTGTGTGTGTGTGTGTGTGTGTGTGTGTGTGTGTACGGATGCCGGTGTTTCTGCAAACACCGATTTGCGGGCGCCTTCAGGCCTGGTGGGTATGGCCCTGTTGGCGGACTGGCCACACCCGAAGCCACGTACCTGCCGCTGATCAGGGCTCGACGGGAGAGCTACTTAGGAGAGTCTTGGAGCTCCCACCGACGCGGGATCATTGCATGAGACTCCACGTTAGTCACCCAATTTAGGTTTAGTCGTTTAGTGCATGCCTGCTATTGTTACGTGTCCTGACAGCTGCCGCTATTGTTTCCCGCAGGAGGAGCGTGGGAGGCCCGAAGGGCAGCGAGCACC